GGAATGTAGTCTACTTACACACAAACTTAATTGAAGTATTCTCTCAAATGATACTTATATAGCTATATATACGTATGAGATTCGCACTAATTAAACAAAAATGGTTATAGCTTATAGTTTCTAATTAAATGACAAACTTTTACATCACAATATTTATGTCTAATTCAGTTGAACTCAAATTGCCTGTTACGACATCTATATATCTTTCCACAAACAACCTTGCAATACCCACAACATCTGACATCTATTCGAGGCTACTGTCGTTGAAATGGAAGTGTTGATAAAATATTGCACCAAATCCTTCTCTCAAGTCGATCAATTCATTTCATAGAAAATTGTTCAAAATTGATCATTAAATTTCGTTCCCGAAGCGATTAACCAATAGGAAACACACAGGAAGCAAATACAAATTTGAATTCACATGAATTGATCGACTTGAGGAAATGAATTGATGCAATATTTTATCAACACTTCCATTACAACGACAGTAACAAAAAATAATATTTATAGCTGGAATGAAAATTCAACTCCAAGTCTTTGTTAAGTATAAACTAATGGAAAACAGTATTCTTATATAATTTGATTTCTAGTTCTTCTTTATCCCAAAGAAACCTTTAAGGATAACGAAAGCACGGGTATATGGCAATATCTTACCGCAATCTCCGGCTTTGATGATTACAAATAAGAGCAATCCTTAAAAAAAATAGAAAAGGGGATACAAAAGCGTTTTATTAAAAGCAGACTGCTACACATCAACTATCAGTAACAGAATGTAATGCCACGCCCAAATGGCATGGTATCAGGAACAGATGTAATACCCCGCCCAAATGGCATGGTATCAGGAACAGATGTAATGCCACGCCCAAATGGCATGGTATCAGGAACAGATGTAATGTCACTCGCCACGACCAGTTTCTTACGTTAAAGTTAATGTTGGTAGTTGATAGTTGATCATGATAGAAGATTGGTTAAAATGAGGGAGATATTCCAGGACACCATTCATGTAAATTAGGTCATGTGGCCTGGGAAACGGGGAAGAAGGGTCTTTTAGGTCATTATTATATTATCATTAAAGAGGCTTGTATACTTCAACATTATCGCAAAATCCAATTTAATTCTAAATCGAATAGCTTCTTGCTGAAGACTGAAACTACTTTTTCCTCTGGTTGTGCACGTAACCCATTGTCCTCAATAAATACAAAATAAACATTTATTGTTCGCTACATCAATAGGCTAAATCTTGTTCGCTAGAGCGATTGTTCGCTCCATCGATAAATTAATCTTGAGAGAATTCATGTGAACAGATGGAAATGCATTAATGTTTGTTAAAGTTCAATGCCATTAATTATTTCTCCAAAAGCATTCGACGCAAAACGTTAATAACCTGAATTCGCATTGAATGGTATTTATAAAAAAAACTTAAAACTGAATATCATTTACTTCCAATGTAAATTTGACAATGCTTTGTGAAACAACCAGTGGCGTAACTAGAACGATAATTGGGGGGGGTGACTATTCATATATTCAGTTCTGCCTGACGGATTTCTATTATAAGCTATTGTAATTACAAAAGAAATCCGTAGGGCAGAACTGGATATATGAATATTCACACCCCCCTCCCCCAATTATCCTTCTAGTTACGCCACTGGAAGCAACGTTCATCAAGTAACAAGTAGCAATTTTTTCGCCGGATTCAAAGCATTTAATTCATTGTCAAACTTTATTGACAACGATAGCTATTCGTTGATGGCCACTTTGCAAAAGAAGTTGAACGCTTTAAAGAGTCTTTTAAAGGGTAGGCTTTCAAAAAGGAGATTCTTATATCTTTATGTTATTAAACTTTGGCACTGCGTTATTTTGAATGCAGTTCGTTTACTTTGATTGAAAGCGGAAAACACTTCCGTAATATATTATGATAAGCCTCGATTTCATTCTGACTCGTTTATATCAGCAACAAGCTTAATTTCGGTTCTTGAAACTCAATTCTTCATTTCTCATCTGGAGAGGAATTTGCTAAACAATCGATTGCTTCGCTTCCTGTCTACAAGGGATTTTTCTCATTTTTTCTCCTTCGTACGAGATCTTGGGTTGGATGTATACAATTCTTAACAACATTCCTAATAGTCAACTCATCAGTTATACGTCTGTCAGTAATACCACGGACGTATCAGTTATGTGTGTAGTCAAAAGCCAACTACATTTTTGCGCAATTGCAAACGGCAGAACTTATGCAAACATATATACTTTATCCGGCTGAAATTGCATTAACGCGCACTGGGTGCCGTTTCTTTACTAGCTAGCATAAGCGTAAAGGAATTTACACGTATCACAGATGATAAAAGTACTTACCGGATGATAAGATCATGTAAACAAACCTCATTGTCTCGTATCTATTTTTCTCGAATGGAGTTGTGATATTTATGCCTTAGAAATCTGGGAAGTTCAACAGGACATCTGATCAGATATTAGGGAGAAACACGTGATGAATATCCATAGAAACCTTTGATGTGAAAGTAAACTATGGCGTTTCATAAGAATTTTAACTGAATTAAAAGAAGCTCTTTTAAAGCGACAATATTTGACCACAAATTAACTCTCCCTAACTTAAATAATCTCTTGCATGGACTATATTTGAGGAATATAACCAGGGAGCAGCGTGGCAGCGTCTTCAAACAACTTAGCATCAAATGTGGTATAACAACTGCCTAAAATGGACAAAACACTTTTCGACGTTTCCACCTGAGGGCCTTTGTAAGGAGAGTTAGTATGAACAGATTCGTCTAAGTATATACACAAGACAAACTATCTAGACGAACCATGTAGACGAATATGTCAGACGACACAGACTCGCGCGTTCAGAAACTGCGCGGGGATTGGGAATGAATGTGCATGATAGGGAGATCCGAATTCGAAATGACGGCAAAAATTTAATTAGTGAAGCATTTATCTGGTGACAGATTAAATTGGGAAAGATTATTTATCTGGCAAGGAGAGTGCACAAGAGCCGTTTTATGACGTAATTTTCCGTAGTTTTCCTTAACCGTATTTATACTAACAGATATTTGATGCAGCAAGACAAACTACCATTCAAATTCGCCTAAATATATACAAACTATGCGGATAATTAGCCTTTCTCACGATAAAATTTTTGGGGTACTTTCAATTTTCGCAATGATAAGATTTGAACGCGTGAAAAGTTAAACAAGCTTTGGTGTATAACTACTCTTATTTGCACATCCCTAATTTATCTTCTCGTTCACATCCAGCAAAAGATGAAAATCGTAGCAAAAATCGCTCGAGTATTAATGGACCCTAAACTAGAATTCAATGTGTTAGCTTTCATTTATTACTTTGCCAAGATTAGTGGGAATAAATTATCAGTTAAGAAGTTTCACTTAAAGGCAAAACTGATGACACTTGCGTTCGATAGTCAGCAAAACAAAACTCTTATCATGTTAATGAACTAAATATCATGATAGTTTTAACATGCACGAAGAGATTTAGCACAAGCAAAAAAAAGCTGGGGAAATATGAACGGAAACGGCGGAAAGTCTCAAACAAAAAGTTTTCATTGGCGTCTTGAGAACTTTGGCGAATGGCGATCCCATACTTTCTACAACCTGAACTGCCCCATTACTCAATTGCAATAGTACATATTAACGTAATCACGGGGAAAAAAATATAAAAGTATATTTTGTGAACTTTGATATTTGATATTTTTTGCATGGTTGCTTCAAAACTTTATTTCATGCGCACACACTGACAGCATGTTAACAGTTATGCCATCCAACAACGACTAACTATTATCACACTGTGCTATTATGTGCTATCCAGTTTCTACATATAAAACCTTTCCGTGAGCGCACTGGGGGAAATAAACTCGCCATAAAAGCTTTTTTAGCAATTTCAAGTGAAAGCGGAACTGATAGCGCAAACCAGTCACTGAGAGGTGGCGTAGGGGGGCAGTTTTATACTTAAATTCCATGCACCGTATTAAATCCGCTGCATTGAAGACTGTAATGGTGCATGTAATTATAAAATATACACAATTTTGCCTTAAAGGCAGAACTGATGATACTTGCGTTCGATGGTCAGCAAAACAAAACTCTTATCATGTTAATTAACAAAATGTATATATAGTTTTAACATGCACCAAAAGATTTAGCACAAAGCATGCCTGTTCGAAAAAAAAAGCTGGGGAAATATAATTTAATATAAGAAAGCGGAAAGTCTCAGACAAAAAGTTCTCATTGGCGTCTTGAGAACTTTGACAATCCCGACTTTCTACAACCTGAACAGCCCCAGTACTTAATTGCAATAGTACATATTAACGTAATCACGGAGAAAAAAATATAAAATTATATTTTGTGAACTTTGGTATTTGATATTTCTTTTGCATAGTTGCTTTAAAACTCTATTCCATGCGCACACAATAACAGCATGTTAATAGCTATGCCATCCAACAACGACTAACTATTATCCGGCACACTGTGCTATTATGTACTATCCAGTTTCTACAGAAAACCTTTCCGTGAGCGCACTGGGGGAAATAAACTCGTCATGAAAGCTTTTTTAGCAATTTTAAGTGAAAGCGGAACTGCCATGCAAACCAGTCACTAGGAGGTGGGGAAGGGGGAGCAGTTTTATATAAATTCTATGCACAGTATTAAATCCGCTGCATTGAAGACTGTTATGGTGCATGTAATATAAAATATACGCAATTTTGCTGACAAAAATATCTGCAAAAGCAAACATAAAGGTTATGACTTCCAAGTCCAACTAGTCGTAACTCTTTTTGACTAGTTTGAACGTTGATTATCGGATGAAACGCCACCCACCATGCACAAAGCGCTTTTTTAAGGATCTTAATCATATGCGTGTCACCAACTTGTCCCAAATGTTTGGCAATATGGCTAACAACATAAAAGCTTCATTGTTTACAAGAGCTTATATGTCAAGATTGCGATGAATGAAAGAGAGCATACCGGAAGGCATTTTTCATTTTTTAACACAAGTACAGAGATTTGGGTTTCAGTTAGGATTTGCTCGGTTGGTCGAAAGTCACAAGGTTCTGCAAGAGAGGTATTACTCGCCGAAAACATTTGACGAAAGGATGAAATTTTCAATTGCACTCTGTTTTGTTATCATTGGCCTTTCTTTTTTTGAAAAGCTAGTTCAGGTGTGACATCAAACGATTCATTGGCAATCGTATCAATATTTTCCTAGATGTAATCCTCGATTCTCGCCAAAATGAGGAGATCGAGAAAGTTGCTTGGCAGTAATTAGCTTGATATGCCTCCGCGGAAGAATCAGGGCGCATTTTGTTACATGGATAACCGTTACGTGCATGTGTGTTGCATGTTATAACTGTCTACGTACAGTTTTTTGGCCTCAAAAAAATACTATATGCCTGATTTACTTATCTTACTAACTAATTTCTTTGAACAGGGAGCGAGCTGCAGTTGTAACTGCAATGATGGAGGCTCAACGTGTCCCGGGGACTCGGGAAATCAAAATACTGTCCCAATGAGGCTAATTAAACAGTGTGTGTTTCCTTCAATGAATGATGACAAAGATGCTGGTCCACTTAAGGTAAATCGGAACTTCTCCAAAGCGATTTTTGGCTAAAAAACATTTTTCGTATAGTTCCGACCCGAGGAAACGTGATAGCTATTTAGTGATAAATTAGAGCAAATATGCTTGCAAAAGTCGTCCGACTTCCCAACATGCACATAATCTACGTTTATGCCAAATAGCCATATATATTGCTATGTGCATGACTTGTGTTAATGAAATGATTAATAATGCAATAAAGTTAGCTATTTCAGAGCACTTGATTTACTACATTCAATGTGAGCAGCAACGTAACCCTATCGTCGTGGGCCCCCGTCAATCATTCACTTGTGGGCCCTATATGATATTCACTATATATATGATGGACTATAAAATAAGCTAAATTTACGGCCTATGTCTACCTATAACGATACAGATAATATAGTTTGTGCTTTATTGCCCATGCAGTTACGCCACTGAATGTGGGTTATTACATACACGAAGAATGCTTTTTAGAATGCATCATTGCAAATCTTTCCATTACAATGAGAAGCTGACGATACTCGCAGTTGTAAGGGCGGACTTGTATATACACGACTCATCGGGAAAACTCTGATAGGGGGGACCTTTTGCAGCTTAAACATGAGCAATGGTCACTAAAAATGGGGCGACAACGGCAATGAGCATAAATGTATTCCGCTGGAACCTCGTGTTTCCATCAATCAAATCATGATTCGTACGACCGCACTCTGCGTTACAATCCATCTCCAAATAAATAGGTTCAATATCGGTTCAATTAGTGTTGAAATCCTTGTCACTTATCTATTTTTCATCCATCATTAATTTTATGTATAATTTTCATGAATGATGAACAGGCGACATGCACGTACACCAAGAGAGAATCACATACGTCTTTACGAGTGACATTCAACGGAGCCATGAGAGTGATTGGATGTTCGGGTGGATGTTGTCGCCGCTGGTTTTTGACAATAAACGGTGAGTGGTTATGAAAAACAAGATAATCGATTGTCGTTAACCTCATGCCGGCCAAATCGTCTGAAATGTTTGCATTCTTTTTCAGGCCAGGAGTGCAGGAACCCAGCTACAATCGACACATCAATATACGCAACTGGCGCTGTTAACCGTCATTCGCCTAAGACTTTAGATGGTTTTTGCAATGAAATACCCAGAGGTCAAGTTACCGTTGGTATTTCTATAGGCACGTGTCCTGGTGCAAAAGCTGGTGACGCTTACACAGGGTGGTACTCTGTGTCGCGTATTATCATCGAAGAAGTCTCTCTGTAAATTTCACGAATTTTCTCAAGATTGTAGTGAATGAGCGTTTAACAAGAATGCATGTATAGTTTTAGATTATGTTGAGTCACTTGTGTCGTGTTTAGTCATATAAAGGCTTGAAAAAACTTGTAGCGCTATTGATTGGGAATTAAATTTATTGTAACGATCAAGATCGTTATGATACAACAGCATGCATTATATGCTGGAACTAATTCCAGGCAATGATACAGCGATTTTGCACGCGAACCAGTTGCTCAAAGTTTGTCGACTTTTGTGACCAAGCTCCGGCCCAACTCCCAATTGTTTCAGATGTTCAATAGGCTGCTGTTCTATTTAATAAAAATAACCTTCTACTGTTTCTCGTTTCGTCGTGATCTGTGACAAATTTGGACAGTTCAAGATGTGGACTGCCTGCGCTGAGGGTTGATTTCTCGCAACTTTGGCAGTGTTAACTGTCTCACGCCTAAGTATGTAGCTATCTATATATTTAGTTTTTGCAATGACATACCCAGGGGTCATGTAACAGTTGATATTTCTGTAGGCACGTGTCCCTGAATAAGAGGTGGCAACGTTTACGCCGGGTGGAATGTTGTGCCGCCTATTAATTATCCGGCATCGTTAATATGTACTGTTCTTTGCTCGACTGACATGAGTTACTTGAGTCGTGTTTAGTCAAACAGGTTTGAAAGTCAATTTCGGTCTTGCAGCGCCATTGTTTGGAATTAAATATTGCAACGATGATATCCTCATGATACATCAGCAGAACTACTGAAGTCTGGGCGATAATAGTCATAAAATAATACATCGGGGATGTATGCGGACCGGTTGCATTCTCAAAGTTTGTCAATTTTTGTGACCAGTTCGCCCCAATTGCTTTTGGATGTTCAATATAGTCGTTGTTCTATCAAGCTGCTGTCTTCTTCGAGCAACGAGGGATTTTTAAGTAATTGATCTCCCAGTTGAGCGATATAATGGCTTCAAAGTTTAATCTTCTAGTGTCTATTTTTTTCAGGATTCATATACATCACAATTTTAGGTTTGTTCAAATATCTATATCTATCTCTCTATGCACTGACAAATTTAGCTCACTCGCATTGCTCTTCTTTCAATACCGACTTAAACAGGCATTCATCCGCAAAATTAGAAATGTCCAAAAAGTACTACTCCAAAAAGCGCGAGTTTTTTATTTGGTTCACCTTTGTGCTTGGCTCAGCTGGATTGTGTACCAGTTTTTCATGGTGACAAGGTGTAATGAATGGACTGAAAATATACAAGTATATAGTGACTGGTAAAAACAGCTAGTTCTCATAAAGTAGTTCTTGCAGTTATTTCAGTTTAGTTAACTTTGTAGTTAATTTTCAGGAATACAATGTGTTATAATTAAAAGCCTTTTAATAATCACTACAGGATTTAATGAATCTCTCTGTCGACTCTGCGTATTTAAAATGCAAATAAGAAACAGAATAATTAGTGAATGAGATAGCATGAATCGCGTATTTAATGAAGCAATGTGACAATTCGTTCCAAACGGTTTCTAATGATTTCTACGGTTAAACTATATTATACATTAGCAAATTGTTTGATTAGATGTGATTCAATGTTGGGATCTGTGGACACTATTGTTGTTTAGGATTGCAGTTTTGGCCATTCAGGCGGCACATGTGCAAATATACAGACAGCTGAATCATGTATCGTAAACACACAGACGACACAGTCTATGTAAATTTTCAATTTCTATGATTTAAACTAAGCCGGCCAGCCTCGGTAGTAGTGCAGTTTTACTCTTTGCAGTAGTGCCAGTGTCCTAAATGACGCGTTTGTCATTTGCACAAGTATAATAATACAGGTTTAGTCCTCCGTTTACATAACTATTCAGTAATCTGTTTTGACCTCAATTGTCGATGAAACTTTGTTTGTCGACACGAAGAGTTTCGCGTTTACATCAATTCGTCTCCTTCTGCTCATCAAATGAATTAAGGCAATCCTGAATCTTCGCATACGGAAAAAATAGATAAAAGGATTGATGCATGCATTGATATAGATAAATGAAAATAGTTTTCGCCATGTCATGAAGTCTGAATTAGACATCATTTGGAGAATAGCGTACGGCAAGTACGTCGCGTAAAATAGACACACGACAATGAATGTGTTCAACGCAGATTTGACAAAAATACTTTCTACCCTCTCTCGTTTCGCGCTGATCTGTGACGAATTTGGGTAGTTGAAGATGCGGCTAGCCTGCGCTGTTAGTTGATTTCTTACAGCTTTAAAAACCACTGCATAGAGGGCGGCAACAAATAGCATTTTTGTTAAAACAAGAGCACTGAGTGCTTTATCCAATATATCATGATGTTGCCGTGAGGATAGGGCGTCAAAGAAATGAGCAATGACCAACGCGGTAGCCGCGAGCCATGATCCAAGTATCATCAACAAGGTCCTCGCTCGGGTTACAATCGTTGCATACCTTAATGGGTAAACCACCGCGACGAATTTGTCCACAGCCACCATCAATACAGCCGTTCCGCTTAAAAACAAGCAAAACGTATTCAAAGATGTATAGTATTCACTATATTCGCTTCTTCCTACATACGTGAGGTTAATATTCCAAGGTAAAAAGGCCGAGAGGGATATGAAATCTGCCAAAGCCAGGTGAAGTATTAGCAAATCTGAGTTTTTGCGACGTAACTGGCTCCGTGTTGCGAACAAGATGATAACAAGAAGATTTGCCGTCGAGCCTACAATAACTTGCAATGATGCAAAGGAGATGAGAAGTTTTATTTCAATATCGTTTACCACGTTTGATGTGATGTTGTTCATCTTTAAAGCATATATTGGTGAGTGGAATTCAATCAAAATTTATACTGACCAAACTATTAGGGACTGACATAGTCGCAGTTTACCCCTCATCACCTTCGGAGCGGTGAATAAATATACATTAAATTTTATCTACTATGAATATTAAAAGCGGGTGTTACGTTTGCTAATTTTGTTTGTTCACATAATGATAATGAATTAAAATATAGAATACTAAGATTACAAGCTAGTAGCTCTGAAAACACTGCTAAGTTACATTTCTATTGTAACGCGTTACCATTTGTATATATGACAAAGTTAGTCTAAAAAGTCCATCTTTAATCAAAACACTTGGCGGTGCAGGTCAGCAGGTGTTCATTAAAGTCGCGAATGTATAATTTGAAATGGTTTAATAACAGATATGATTACATTATATATATTACGATCTTTCTTTTCTAAATTAACCTTACATTTGGCATGGGAAAATAATAATTTTTACAAAAGTGGACATGTAGACTGTATACTATTACACATAGGCTCGTTTGAAAAGAGACAACAGATTGCTTAGAGTTTCAAAAATTTGCATAGGAGACGGCATTGACAGGCGTCATACATATAATTAAAAGATTAGAAATGCAACGAATCAGTATCAACCTTTTATATTTTAAAGAATTGAATGTCTACTTTTTCATTTTGAATGAATTTATTTAGTATTTTCTACAACAGGTATGGGTTTGCACGACTATACCAAATATTCTAGGAACACCAAAGTAACTAAAACATAAAATATATAATGTTAAAAATTTAAGCGCGTTTATAGGCACGTGAACAGACACACCAAACGTTTAAATTATAGGATTTACGAGGCCAAATAACTCTACACGATCTGTGCATGCAGTCAATGCCCCCTCCTGCATGGTATTTCAGTACATATAAAATACTTTTGAGGTTGTTTCAAAAACTCTAATTCAATTATAACCTTATTTACATCTGCCTAGCACGAAAAAAAGGAGGAGGTTGATCAACAATATCAAGCATTTGAAGCGAATCTCAAATACTAAATTTCTCATTTTCTCACAATTATAATATCATAACATCATTACTGACATTAGATCTCTGCTTTCTACGAATATACATGATCATATTTTAAGGTGAATTTTTTGGACCCTACTAAACTTTGACAAACAAAATAAAATCGAAAAGCGATTAATTCACACGCATTGCTCTAAAGTCTTTCTTGCACAAGTGAAATTTTCATCACAAATTACGTAACACGACCTTCTTTATAGCGACATTAAAGTAACTTCAGTGCCGGCATTATTCGCCACTAAAAAATATTCACCAAGTGTTGACATAGGCTAAGTATATTTTCCTCCAAACTCCTACTTCCAACTTATACAGTGCAACAGTTTGCCTTTTGTCTAAATTATGTTGGCAAAGCAATGATAAGACTGATTTGATTTACTCAACAATTGTTAGGTCACTTTTTATACAATCGTACAGTAAATTAGTTAAATATAGGAAGGAAAAGTTGAAAAAAACCTGGTCGGATCGACTTCAAATGCGGTGTTAAGATTTTCTTGTTTTATAGTGGAGGTCTTATCCGCGGGCCAAGGAGGTAGTGAATGTTGTTGGAACCAAAGATCTTGAAACAGAATGCATGTGGTCACTTTAGTTGCCAGTCTTTTGCCTCGAAACAGGACGCGGTAACGCAATCAAAATATAGCGACGCTTTAAATCATCTTAACAAGCACATAATCAACCAGACTATATTGATATCGCCAACTTAACAAGATCCATGTGTCATAATTTATACGAGGTAAGTTATAAAGGAAGATAAAATTCAATAAATTCACAGCTAAATTGGATATGATAAACAATAAAAAATGAACGGCACCGGCTTTGCATGATCCCTTAAAGTTCAAAATCCATTAAAACTGTTTATCCACTGAAAACGCTTGGCACTTTGGCAAAAAGACCTGTCGTAAATTGATTTATTAATTTCTGTAAATCCCTTTAAAAGAACAAGTTTCTTTCGCTGTTAAACAGAAATCTGCAGCCGCATATTTAGTGCGCTTTGTTCTTATTCTTGCGTATAACTCATATGCATGCTTAGCCTTTTCTTCCTATGCCATAGGACGCTGACCTGCTGAAAATCTTTATAAATTGTTTTAATTTTTTTAATTACTGCAATTTCAAACAAGAAGCAACCTTCGACAAAGTTCCATTCATGCATAATCCAATAACAATGCAATGCAGTATGATTGGGATCCGCTTGGCCCTTTGAATATTTTTTAGCATGCAATTACGACAAACGCAAACATATAATGACTCCAGACACGTTCCCTTTGGTAGGTTTACATTGGATAATTTTTTCTGTCTATCATTCATGTGCCACATGTCACATATGAAAAATTGGCATGGATTGATATAATTAAAAAATACGTTAATGAATTTTCGCGTACGGTACGACTGAATACGAATGTAATTCGTCCCGGCGTTGGTTTAACGATGAGCAATCTTACATCAAAATTGATAAATGATATAGAGTTGGATTTCCTAACGAGTTTTGCCTCGTTGCAAGTTGTCATTGGTTCGACAGCGAACTTTCTTGTGATCATTTTGTTCGCGACAACGACCGAACTACGGCGCAAAAACTCCGACTTACTAATTCTTCATCTTTCCGTGGCGGATTTCATATCGCTCTCGACGTTTTTACCATGGAATATATATCTTACAAATATAGGAAGAGGCGAATACAGCGAGTACTACACGTCTTTGAACACGTTTTGTTTGTTTTTAAGCGGCACGGCCGTGTTAACGGTTGCTGTGGACAAGTTTGTCGCGGTGATCTATCCGTTAAGGTATCCGACACTCATAACTAGAGCGAGGACATTGTTGATGATACTCGGGTCCTGGCTCGTCGCAACAGCGTTGGTCATCGCTCATTTTTTCGACTATTTATCAGCAGGCGAACATCATCATATATTGGATAAGTCTCTGAGTGCACTTGTTTTGGCAAAAATGCTTTTCGTCGCTGTTATGTATGCTGTGGTGTTCAAAGCTGTTAGAAATCAATTGTCAGCACGTAATGGACGCAAAGTGCACGTACAAAACTCGTCGCAGATTACCTCGAAACGAGAAAAGGCCGAGAGGGTTTTTCTAAAATCCGCGTTGAACACATTTATCGTTGTTTGCCTATTTTATGCGACGTACCTGCCGTACGCCATTCTTCAAATGATGTCCGTTACAGACTTCGTGGCATGGCGAAGATTATTTTCATTTATCTACATTAACGCATGCATCAATCCTTTCATCTATTTCTTTCGTATGCGTAGATTTAGGATTGCCTTACTTGCTGTTATCAACAAAAGAAAACGTTTCCGCGATATAAACGCTGGAAACTACATGTCAACGAACAAGGTTTCGTCGACAATCGACGGCGAGATAGGCCTTAGGCCGGATGGGCCGCCATTTTAGGTTTCATTATAGGAGCGCTGATGAGTCAGCAAGTATACAATTAGCAAGATATTCTTATCGAATATACAACCCGTGCAAAGTAAAAGAAGAAGACCTTAATAGACAATTCAAACATCTCTCGTGCGGCAATAAAAACCTCATACTTAACAATAGATTACACTTTCCGCCTCGTTTAAGTTGTATATGTATGTTTGGTTAAGCATATCCAGGACCAGGAAGTTAATCAAAATTATTTTTATTTCAATTTTCTTTTCTGCACAGACAACAATAGTGAACCTAAAACGCTGAGACGCAGTTCAATCTCACTGAATGTCTTATTATTTAATCACCTGCCACAACACCAAAATCGATTATGTATGATATATTTAGTGTATAATAATACATCTCTAGTCAATCAGTAGCATATTGTCACCTTTTTCAATATATTAACCTGCTATTTTGAGTGAACGGTTGTTCAGTAAGAGATGCTAGATTCATTGTCTGGGTATAACCGCCATCTTTTCTTTTGGTAAAGGATCACGAATATTGTTGAAATGGCCAATGGGTAAGTTATGTGAGGACTGGACCTATATTCACGTTAACTCTATCGCTCAAGTTTCTCCAGTCCTATCATCAGACGAGACCGATTTTAATACTAATCGGTGATCAGTTAAGGCACCACGAACGAAAATTACACTCCCTTCTGAAGGTCAAGAAAGTGCATGTGCCAAAGTGTGACAAAAAGTTTTTTCCACGTAAAGACTTCAATTTTAAATAACCAACTGTGGTTTTCTGTGTGGTAGTCGTTGTAATTCACTTGATAACTGCAAAATATGGAGGGATAACAGCTTGATAACTGCAAAATATGGAGGCCGGATATTGCAAAACTGATAAATTTTGCAATCGCGCGACTGACTTGACATTACCCAAGATTCGCCCTTGATAGTTAATTGATAGATGGAGACATAATATAAGGATGCATTTTTGTATGACAATCATAGCTGTCAATAGGTCTATTTTATGTGTTCGTGGCAAAGTATATATATATTTTTATGGAGCAATTTATTAATGAAAAATCTTACCCTCTCGTCCTTATCGAACGAGTTCTTATCCCCCCTGGTTTAAAGCTGACCAATCGAGGAAGAAAACTGTCAAATCCAATATGGCGGCTTCAAAACAGGAGGTAAATATACAAAGTATACAATATTTTATTTTAATCATTGCTGCAAATAGCGCTTATTGCTTTTCTTGAATGTGAAACTCTTTCCCACTTAGAACAAAAAGCTTCTGGCCGAGCAAGCTTCGAAATCAGGGGAGGAATTCATTCAACTTTACTATGAGACGTTTGACAAACGCAGACATGTAAGTGGACTAGAACAGTTTGAATTTTAATAAAATTATAGCAGTTTATATGGATTTTAGCCATAAGCGTGTCGCAAAAGATCTGTTGTAAGTGCTATATCTTCTCACGTGGTATTTGCTGAAAAGTTTGCTTTCCTCCCAGAATGTTGATTATGTTGGTTAATGGTTATTTTGCCAGAAAATTAATGAGAGAAAATCTGAATCCTGGACAACTGGATTAAACTCTGAACACTAAGGGACAGCAAAGATAGGACATTTCATGTGTTTCAGTAATTACTAATTAGCACTTGTAAAAATAAGATTTGGTTTTCTCATATGAGTAACACATGATTGACTTCACAATTGAGTTTTACCCAATTTTTCTTTCTAAGGTTAGAGTTAGGATTGAGGTTAGGGTGAGGATTGGGGTTAGAACTAAATAGCCGGTTGCCTGCTATTTAGCAATTCCTATTATATACCTTTCAACCTAAAAAGCTTTTCCAAGAAAATTAGTATGACAAGGTCATGAGAATTTTTTGTTTATTTTAAGCAGTTGTTATAAATAAGATTGTATTTGACGGATTTAGAATTGACTATTGTCAAAAAAGAACGGCAATCAGCAACAAGAATTGTCTATATATATATGGTAATCTTGGCAATTGTCTTCAGTCAGCATAAGACACTTGCCTACAATTTATAACCCACCTCCCCAGAAAGGAAAAAGGAAATAAATTATCCTAATATATATAGTTTATTTCATTATTTGCTCCAGGTTTTATCAAAGTTATATTCAGACACTTCAAGTTTGGTGTGGAATGGCCATCATATAAAAGGGAGTGATAAATTAAATGAATTCCTTGTCTCCCTACCTACAACTGTGCACAACATCTATTCCATGGATTGTCAGCCAGTCCCAGGTAATATGGATAAGTGAATTTTGATATTCAAGGCACTACCTCCTATACAGCAATTACTTTATTTACTTATTCTGGTGATATGCAGAACAATTGTCATAAAATTACACAAACATTTTTACAATATTTGTTGTGTTTGTTTAATAAGCAATATATCAAGTAAGTTCAATATGTCAGAGTTGCCTATGGTCAAAATATTAAATTCAAATCAGTGTTTGAAACCACTTGTCATGTGTGAAAAAATTAAGTGCTTAATTAATAATATAATAAATATATAGATGATTACAAGACACAAAAAATGAATACATGACTGATATTAATGCTTGGCAATACTATTAATGCTGGAAATATAAATGAATACATGATTAATACTAATGCATCTCGATCTATTCTATCACTCCAGAAAGTTGATAGCAATAAGAACTAGAGCTTTGCCTACCTGTTTTTCACCCCAATATACCTTGTACCATGGTAATGAAGAATATCGCATGTTAATACATATGACAATTGTTGCTTATTTTAATATTTATTTAATTCTCTTTAGAGAAAGCTGTACCAGGAGGCAGAACTATTGCAGTCTTTGTTAGTGGGAATGTTGAGTATGAAGATACTAAAGCTAAAATTTTTTCTCAGAATTTTGTGCTTACCGCAGAAGGAAAAGTATGGAAGGTTGTTAGCGATTGTTTTCGAACAACTACTTAACACAAACTTTAAAAGTCCCGAATCTGGCTGATAAAATTTTTCTCTTTTTGGCATAACTGTCAACCCAGTGAAACCTTTTTGGAGGCATATTGGTAGAGCCTTTAGAGTATAAGGAATGAGTATATGTTGGATATGAACGCACCTTACATTGGTAAATACTCGTATATTGGGCTACAGCTGAAAAATCTAAATTGAAGTTCAGAGGTACTACCACTACATATGCGTAGATTTTAAGGAGCGATGTGATGAAACGTGCTAACGCTGCATACTATAACCTGTAAAGTAGTAATGTAGTTCTATGTACATATCATGTACAAAAACTGAAGGACACTTTAAAGCAAAACTTTTTCTGTAACCAATGTTAACTGCGGTTACAGATTTTGCCCTGTGATTAAAAGGTTGGTCTCAAATCTATGAAGCGAAAGGCAATGGCAATTCCACCCTTTCTAACTTTATCGATAAAACTATTTCGTTGCTTATCAACGAACCTAAACTTGTCCGACGAAGCTAAAATAACCTGCCAAAATCAATATATATACCCAGACAGCTTGTTCAGGAAACAGTGTATGTTACATACGTAGGATAACGTAGGACAAATTCTCATCAAGGCCAGAGTGGTTATTTGAGGGATTTGTTTGATCATTTAATATTCCATCAGTCGATTTGCAAAGCAAATGAAAGAATTTTCAAAGCAAAAGAAAATAATTTTCTCTAATCGTCTCAAGCAGTCAAAACGACCCTCGTTTTCAAATGAGGACGATATGAGGACTGAGGTTCGTGCACTTCTATCGAAAAAACTCACTCAAAATAATGTACAAGTACAAATTACATTACTTATTATACAAGCAATCATCGAAAGGCAAAAATCCTGCACACTGATCTGCTTCGCATAAACATTTCGTCCGCAAAGTTTCAAAATTCAGATGCAAGTTTTTCTCAACTTCACCATAATCCGCCGACGTACACGAAGCATCACCGTAACTAAATGTAAGTTCTTCACCATTGACGATATCTCGAGAAGAGAATAAACAAAGTCTAGGGACGGGAGAGTTAATCCTTACTGGAAACATCGTCATATTTGGTTGACATGAATGGTTCATGAATCTCGCTACATTGCCGACGTCCGTGGCATCGATGTGTGTCCTGAGAACGTTCCCTTCTGATATATGTTCTTTAAGAACCAACAAGTAGTTCGATTCCGTCTTACCAGTTCTTGACGCGGTGCGCCTCTTAGCTTCTTTATAACTTATGATTTCTCCACAGTACTCGGCGATGAAATTTTGCTTGGGGATTGGTTCTAAAGTTCTTACCCCTAGCCCTCTTTTGCTCGTCTGAATAATTTCAAGTCTGACCGTGATGCCTTGCTGCGTTACTCGGTTTCTGCACGTTGCAGAACAGCCACAGTTTCTGTTGCACTCGAATATCGGCAAACAGTACCCTAAAAGAAAAGCGGCTGCTCTTATGTAACGTTCTAGATTTAGTGCATCTGAAGTTAATATGGGTGAAACATACCAGCATTATTTTCCATCTTCAATAAACGATGTCGATTATCATAGTTGGGCCCGTATCTAACTATGCACGCGCAACTCGTCTCATCACACTCATTCGCGCAGTCACACCCAGGGTACATCGACGTATCCAAGTCTATATGAACTTCTGGTCCACACGTGGCTCTCGTGACATACTAAAATCAGAAAATTTAGATTTTTCGAATGAGATCGAAGAACATGAATACCTTGCACGTTCAGTCAAAAGGCTTTTCAGTGTTTTGTGTTTTTCTTTTAAATCCTGTTTCTTACAAATACCAGAAGAACTCCAATTCAAACACACTAAATTTTATGTCCACAAAAAATTCCTTTGCATCGTAGCGTAATTACGCTAAAATCCCTTTGTCGTAATCGCACCTTTTGCTTTCTACCGCCATATAGCAGCCTCATACCCAGGCGCTTTAGTAGTAAAAAATATAACGTTGCATTCAGCTATTTCATGGAAGTCAGCTAAAAAGTGGGAGCGCACGGGGGTGTTCACCACAAGCACCACCGTGCACTCGATTTTAGTCAGCTGGCCTCTATATAATAACTGAATGTAACGTTATATGTTTTCCACTAAAGAGCCTGGGTACGGGGTTGGCCATATGGGGTGAAAATTAAACTAAAATATCGCAAATTAAAAGCAAACAAACATAGAATGCAATACTAAGAAATTGTAGTACTGTGGCAGGCTTACTTAGAAGACTTGTGAAGATTTGTAGTAATCGGCTGAATAAAAGACTTATGCCACCCAAGATGGCGGAATATAAGCTATTTAATTTTTATACTGTACTTTTTATTGATTTTTTTAAAAAATGGACTTCATTTATAGTAGTGTGCAGATGCAGACGAGTGAATATTTATATAAATGTTTTGCGCCTTTATTTCAACTTATGGAAGGAATCACATCTATCATAAAAAATAACAGCCTCCAAATTACGGACTTATAATCAATTCTTTGGCAAGTTACTCCGCAAACAAAGTTATTATTTAATTGTACAAATCAGTGTACATAGATAGCAGCGCCGTGCATACAATTAGCGATACCATGTTGCAATTGCGCAAGCAACGATTTCTGGTGTTAGATTTCATTTCTTGCCATTGTTGGCGTTGCGTAAAACAGAGCCAGTGGCCAGACATGGCTATTTGGAAAATTTTACTGTGCGCGTTTATTCTGATCGCGTTAGTTGTAGGGATCGAATCAAGAGATTGCCGTTATATTAAAACAAAATTAAAATGCGAGAAACAGTGCTGCGGAAAAGGGCCTACTTACATGTGCATAGACGACTGTGAAGGCATCGCGTGCGATAGCGACAGTGACTGTGGAGATGGATGTTGCCGTGATGACAGGTGCAAAGATTGTCCGCTGTCTACGCTTATCATTGGAGTTATAGCTGGATCTGCCGTGATTTTTCTCGCGATTATCATTGTCGCAGCTATATTTTGTTGCCGCGATAAACCAAAGCCTATCGTTGTTGGACAATGGTCCCAACTTCATACCGTCAATAACACGACAGTGGTAAACCCCGGGGCTACCGTGGTAAATGCCAATTCCAATACTCATATGTATTGACGAATGTATAAGAAGATGCTGCAGTACTTGTAACAGATGAACATATAAATAATATAATCCGCAGTCGTATGGATGTAGTATTGTTGTAAATGTAATACAGATGCTAGGATGAATGAAACTTTATACGCGAGACGATATTACTTGAGATTTGTGTGAGTCGTATATATACTCCCCTTAGTGTTAGCTTAGCTTAACCTTTTAGAATTTTTGTTTATATATATGATTTTAGATTTTTAATGTCATAGACATAATAATAAATCGCATGCCACAATGGTAACGAACGAAATAATAATTCATGCAGTATACATAAAGTGCATGTGGAAACCATTACGCGATTCCTTGTTTCTGATTAGACAACATATACTATTGTAAGTTAGACAACATATACTATTATATTACATATCGCAAACTTATTATTTGCACGAGTTGCATGTAGTCTGTGACTGTATCCAAGCTGACGACGGTTCGGCCGTAGGCCCGTAAGTGTTATGGCTTATTTCCACATTTATTGTTTAAAATTTTATCTTTTTTCATGTGTCAAAGTGGAATGTTTTGTATCTTTGCACATGTCTCATGAGAGCAAAATTAAAGTCCATTTCATTTAAGGTGGTTCTAAATTGAAAACGATAATTTAAATTTGTCATGTAATTATGAAAAGGGTATTTTAGATTAAATGTTGGCATCAATAGACCTTTTCGGTAATCACGTCACAACATTATCGTTTTAAATTTAGAGTCACTTTAAATGAGATGGATTTCAAGTTTTACTCTCACAAGTTATGTGCAAAGATGCAAAACATCCTTTTATAACCCGTGCATGAAAAAGATTTTTTAATTTTGACAAATAAGTATGGAAATAAGCCCTAACGCGAGAACGAGGCTCGCGGTCTTGGCCCCTGAGGCTCGTTTTCATGTTATTGCTATTTTCTACATTTATTGGTCAACATGAAAAATCTTTTTCATGCATGTGTTGAAGAAGGATGCTTTGCGTCTTTGCACGTGGCTCGTTAGAGTAGAACTTGAAATCCATTTCATTCATCCATCTCATTCATCCATCTCGCATTCATTCATGACATTCACGTGTTACCGTAAAAGGCTGTCATGTTCAACACGATTCGTTTAGAATATGCAAGGGGTTTCGATTAAATCAGTCCTAAACAGTTCACAACTTCGGCACTACGCGTAATCTTTCTCAGTTTGAAAATCATTTTGGCCATACGAAACTGAGAGTCCGTGTGCTTAGCCTTACGTCTGAACCACTGCCATGTATAGTGTTCATCAAGGATCGACTCTAGAGAATCATCTCTCTATGAAATAACCTTTTGGGCGATGTCACTTGGCATCGTCGCCATGTGTTACATCTGAACCACACTTTATGCTGTCTGGTGTTCCTCAGGGATCGATTCTAGGTCCGCTTTTATGCTTGCATACTCAATAGGTATTTACAATAGTTCTAATAGGATTCCGGAACCAATATACCTTTACAGAAGTGTTGACAAGCATTTAGAGGAGAGGATGAACCTTTTTCATTGTAGACATTCGAAATTTTTCATGGTAGACATTCGGCTTTGCCCCTACATGGCTTTCTTTGGTCACACACGTAACATTGCTGTTTCTACAGGCTTCTTATATTGCATGTAACAAAATAGAATAGCAGTGTCACATGTGTGAGACCAGAGAATCACCCTTCAATTATCCATATCACCCTGCCTGGGGGCAGTTGTTCTGAAGGTGGATAGTGCTACTGCTATCTGCAGATTTTTTTTAATTAATTTTTCTGGCAATAATATGCTGATAGAGTATATTGTGGGTGACCCAACTAAAAGTACACTGAGTACAATAGTAAGCTATAGGCACTGTGTGTGCCATGTGGTATAGATACTGTGTGTAGGGTTGGCAAGTATACACTGGTACCTACTTCAGGTTATAACTTTACTATTGAATAAACTATTTCATTACTTAAGTTGAATTAATTTAACTAACTTCAGCCAGTAATTACTGAACGTCAACCATAATTTTTTTCCTGCCTAACACAACTTACACCCTAGCTTAAATAAAGATAAAGAAAAATCAAGAGTAGAAATATGTATGAAGAGTAGAAATATATATGTAATCCATTCATAGTGAATAGTGGCCTGTGATTGAAGTTTTATAACATATTGTTTGAATAAAAACCCATTGGTGGAGGAACAAGACTCAACGAGTTGGTGGTTTGTCAAAAAAAAATAAGTAAAATTTGACCGAAAATTCACTTCCGAATCCGGTGCGACTTATATTATGCTAATTATATTCTGAATTATACTATCAGAAGCGGACATAAATATTACCAGTAATTACCCACATAAACCGTCGACAACCGACATTTAACGACAATGAGTGGCTGGTCGGTTTAGCGGTTTGTCCTTCGTGGATCTATGAAAGTATAATTATTCGCCAATGTAAGCGGTACGTTTTCCAATTCAAATTTTAACATTCAGTTATCGACTTGTCTCAATTCTCAAACATATTAAATTTATACATATAAAATAAAACCATCTTCACGTAAGAAATACCTGAAACGATTTCTTTATTTGGATGGCATTTTGAAATCGTATTGGAATTGCTTCTAGACCTTGAGAAATATCACTTTCTGCGCAGTTGGCAGAGGGGATTGTATTATAAAATTTGAAGTTCGAAGTTTCTTTGAATTCGGCCGCCATATTTGTTTCATTTTGTCAACCGCTGGAATATAGTACCGACATACTCTACCACTCAGTAGCCTAGCAACAATTGCGCAAAGTAAAGATGGACGGAAAGAAAGAAAAGGAAGAGAGGAAAATGGAAGATATAGCTGAACAGTATTTGAAAAAGCACAAAATTTTAGCATTGTTTGAAAATATAACTGCACGATTGGTGTTCGAACGGCCCGGTAGGTGGTGTTTCTTAGCATGCTCGGTAACAGATCGGTGGTTGATTATAATCTCTTCCTTCACCTGGAAATCAAGGAACCTTCGCGTAAATTCTCTGAACCTTTTCACTATTACCTTATAATTGCAAAATGCTACCAGCTACCAGGTTTGTGCAGATTTTTCAAAAAAGTGCGTCGCACGAATGAAGCGAGAAAATATTTTCCCACCGTTCCCGAAAGCCTCGGATCATCCCTTGTGAATGGGGCCAAAAAGTGCAGGAGGCCTAGCCAGCGAACGCCCACCAAGCCTACTGGCAAGTCAAACTCTGGGAACGATGTTACACTTTCGAGTCAAAATTATTCCATAAATTTGAAGAAGGCTTTCTGGCGATGTAGAAGCTGGTTTGGAATGACTTATTCGATGAATCACTAGTCTCGTCATTTGTTAAGCTTGAATTACTGATCTTTTATCAGGGCATACGTCATATGGTAAAGTATTATTCTTTGCACGTAGAAAACCCAAGGACGTTGATGAGAGATCACATAAGAAACCTGATGGAATCCAGAGAATTTGATCTAGATTTCCCATGCCTTTTTGATTCGAGTAATATAAAATGTTTGTTTGGAATACTAGACGCGTCTTGTGGTGGTCATATTATACCTGAACAATTCAGATCAGGTGAGCACCTTTTAATTACAGAATACTGAAAACTCTGATCACGCTAGTGATTCAATTCCTTTTTGTATTAGTAAATAGTCAATTCGGTAGAAAAATGTAGGAAAAAAGGGCTATTCAGAACCTAAGAGACTGAATTCAAGTATCATCGAATTCAAGTATTAACGTACACCAGTGTATGTTTGAGCCTCATAAGCGTGGTAATTGTCAGTCATTCCTCGATTGTTCTCTCAGTCACTTTATAATCAAGTTACCACGCTCACTATCATTATATGGCATATATATATAGGCAAGCATAGGGAGCCCTCTTTTAGAGATCAAGATTTCGAGTTTCTCCTCCATCGCCCCCTTCTTCACATCAAGTGACCGATCCCTAAATTCACACTGTGTTATTTAAATGACACCGTGTGATTTGTAGCGTTAGAGGTTGTCGGCGCCAGCATCATCCAGGAAGATGACGTTCCAGATCTATTAGACAACGATGGCATTCCTTTCGACGTTTTCCTCACCAAAATGTTAGTATGAAGTCAAGATACACTGCCACTTTTAAAAGCATACATTCACGTTCACCTGAATTGAAAATCTATATAAATGAAGAAAAGTCAGTATACCAGCCGACAATTTTGAATGATATAATATAAAACGAAAATTACAACCTTTAAACATTATTCATTATTATAAAAATTAGGACTAAATCAATTATGCAAGACGAAAATCGATTCTATTCCAAATCATTACCAGGCCACGTTTACACTTTACCGGATTCACTTGTCACAATATCTTCATTTGGCTTTTACTATCGTTTAATAACTACAAAATTTGACGACCCACTCCGGAAGCAATCCAGTATAAGGTGAACGGGTTCCCAGGAATATTATTTCGTTTGGGGGGAACTGAATTTGAACAAAATTCATTGTTTTGTCTAACCGGCCCTTAAATTAATTAAAAATTGTTATCCTAGCATTTAGACATAATAATTGAGATTTAATGGTCTATACTTCCAGTTGGATTTAGAACAGACATTTTTTTATTATTTTTTATTTAGGAGAGAAGGGATATCGAATTCATCGGCTACGTTTGCACCTGATTTTTGAGGTCAGTATAGAAACCAGATGCTAGCTACATGAAGGCGAATATTTTGTTTGTTTTAATTTTTCTTCCAAACGAACGGAAATAGAAGTATTTTAACCGTCACTCAGTGTAATAAAATACAATTAACGGGTAACTCTCAGTTTTGAGTTGGTTGAAATATAGGTCACTCTAGCTGCAAAGCTTCCAATTAGTAGACAAAATGTGCGGCTTTGGTCAAGCATTTTTTAGGTTATGGCGATGTTTTTTAACCCAAAGTAGTAGACTCGGTCAAGCCTCGTGAGTTTTTCGCAAACAGCTGCTGCATATACCTGCATATGTTCCGCTTGGCCGCATAATGCCATGGCCTTTTTATTTTTTTTTCTCTGCATGCTGCCATATAGCATTCTCGATTGTGTAGTTTGTGTAGCGGAACTTTTGAAATCACATTGAAACAGTAGCGTAGCCAGCCTGACGATTTGTCCCGCTAAGCTAATATTTTAGTGTTCATTGACTGTGAAAACAATAAATTTCTAAGGAAATGAATAATTATAAGAACACGAAATTTATATAGCTAGTGGGACAAAATCGTCAGGCTGGCTACGCCACTGCATTGGAAGCACCAAGAGAGTTAACGAATATTCGTTTTGGAACCGAAAATGGGGGCAGATATTTTACGCTTGACCGTAAAGGTTATAGTCTTGATCATTTTAGCGACTCTGAACAATAGCAGCACGTGTTAGTGACGCTATACTGTCTTTATATATATATATATATATATATATATATATATATATATATATATATATATATATATATATATATATATATATAACTGAAAATAATAAAGCCTTGTGTAACAAATGAGAAGTCCGACATATAGCAAATGAATTACGAGACACCACACACAATCAAAACAGACACAAAAGCGGCGTGCACCCACGTGAGCAATATCGAAACACGAGCACGTTGTGGTAACAGGTGCCTATTAGGTGTCATGAATTCGTTAATTCGTCGTAATCAATAACTTCTTATTAACCGAGCGCGAGGTCTTTATACGAGAAATATCGGACCGAGAAATGCATGTATTCGTATTAGTACCCTGCTACGCATTTGACAGAAAAAACATTGACAACTAAACTGACAAACCAGTTGAAGTGGTGAATGTAAACAGCGCTTTAATCGAAATTGAATTCGAAGGGGTAAGGGAAGAATGGCATTTTTCAAAGCCTTAATGCTCTGTGCTGTTTCCACTTGTGCACTGGTTTGTGTTCTTGGTGATTCAAGAAAATGTGTTCATAAGGGCCCATCCGGAAGATTAGTTACTTGTACAAAATTTTGTTGTGGAAATGTAGAGCACATAAGTTGCAGAGATAAAGATGACTGTGCAGGTATTCCTTGCGATAAGAATGAAGACTGCGGCAGTGGATGTTGTGTTAAAGGCAAGTGTACAAACTGTTCTTTACCAAAGCTTTACGTCGTACTCATTGTTATTGGAGTTTTATTGGTCCTCGCTGCTATCACGTTTGCGGTATGTTGTTGTCGTTGTCAAAGAAAGAAGCCAACTGTTTCAAGGTGGAATCATCTCGTCCAAGATACCAGAGCCTAAGCATTCGCTTTTGGATACAAGATCCAATTTTAACGATTTACACAATCACAATAGCGACTGCTAGGTAGCTAATTCAAAATTTATATATGTAGTTGTAATAAACTATATATAGCAATATATAATTTGTGTGATTCGAGATGCCAAAATCACATTATACTGCACATTTATGATGATAAAGTTAGCTTCTTCATTACTTTACACGCGGTTTTATAGCATTCCAAGTTATCCTAGAATTATCGTAAAATTCGTGCAAACATCTCACCACAATATATCATGTAGGAAACTAGAAATGATTTCTCCGAGTATTTCTGCATGGAGATCTTTTCAGTGAAAAAAAAACACTTTATTTATTGATATGATTTAGCTTGTGTACCCAGTTGCTACTTGAGATAGCGAATTTGAGATAAACCCGAAATAAAACGCGGGTTCGTCATCTAAGAGGTGCTTAAGTTTTTTTTATATACCTATATATCTTTCAAAATAGTGTTCTATTGAGGAATTTCTGGAGTCCTAGAAGTTTGGTCAATATTCGGAAAACAAAGTAATTTGATCCATGAAGGAATAATCCTTAATTAAGTTTTGAGTATCGCTCGGGGGCAAAACGTCACAAAATAAACTGTTTGTGAAACGGGATGAAAGACAAGCTTTGATTACAATTCAAGCCGTTGTTCTTAATGAGTTTAAAAACATGATGTTCATATGCCAATTTATTTTTATGTGTCCTAAAAGACCTGTGTTCTGTTGATCACAGCCTCAACTATATACTCTTCTTTAAATTTCACTAATCTTACAGCTATGCATAGACTGATGTTGTAGTAAAATAACTTTTCCTAACCAAAACTTACTGGGTGTCACAACATATTCAGTTCCACTCAGTTTTGTGGAAACACCACTCTAAGTGACAATACCAAATCTAAGAATTTCTAGACCTGCATGCCAATATATAATAGGAAAATAAGACCTGCATGCATGAATGCCAATATAATAGGAATAAAGCAATATAATAGGAATATGGGAAGTGAGAGCTCTGCATGTACATAACAGTAAGCTAAGTACCAAATGTATGCTATACGTATTAGCAAGATTTGCTTTTCTGAATGAAAGTACTGAAGCTAAGAGAGCAATACTCAGCTGCAAAAGAGAGCATCCATGGTGAAGGGCATGATTAATAAATTAAACTAGAAAAGAAAAACGGTTGTTTATAGTTGCCAGGGTCGCAAGAATGGATGAATAAAGTGACCACATGCATAAATGCATGGCTTCCTTTCATCTTTGTTTTTTCCTCTTGTGATCTTTGTTTTCTTAAAAGCACTGATGAAGATGATGGCTAATTTTTCAGCTTATTTTGCCAGTGCTAATAGCCAATATGTAACAATTATTATAAAGACTGGTTTTCATACGACATAATTCGTCTTTTAAAATTTCCTCGTAATTCACATGCCGTAATTCGTTGTTATGCGAAATCTCACATATAAAACCGAAACTGTAATTGATTAGGCCATTCCGTCTTATTGTGTCCTAATTTAGGCGATATTTTGGGGGGGAATGGTTTGGCCCTGACCAGTAAATTAAAATAAGACTGGAACGCTCACTTTGTCGGAAGCATAGAGATTATAAATAACACTAGAGGGGGCATCGAGGAGTAATTGGGGAGCGCGTTAATGGGGGGCAAATCCAAGTTCCGGATGTTCACTCATACACGATGTCCGAAGCCAAAATATGTCGTTTTTAACGAGTTTTTCTCTCTAAATGTTTTTTCCCAAAAATATCATTTCAGGATGTCTAAGGTAGTAAAACCAGTTCAAAAAAAACGCTGTTTCTCCTCAAAAACCGGCAAGGCGACCTAAAAAACGAATATAAATTTTTAAATACAAATTTTACTTGTTGATAACGTGGTTGCTAAGGAGAGGCATTGATGTAGCCAATAGGCGCTTGGCTTAGCACCCGGGATTTGAATTTGCCCCCCATTAACGCGCTCTCTTTTTTGACTGATGTCCAATACCAATGCCTCCTCTAGTGTTATTTATAATCTCTTTGGCGTAAGTTTGAAGCCAAGATGGCGGACACTGAAGCCTTTTTTGAAGGTATGACCCAGGCCTCCACACGGAAATTTCGTAGGTAAAATGGCGGCAATTAAAATTTTTCCGCGTCAGAGGCCTGGATCATACCTAGAAGATGTGAGCGCGAGTGCGCGTTCCAGTCTTATTTGAGTTCACTGGCCCTAAACACTAAATACTATGGATGCCATGTTTTGCGAATTAGCAATGGGGACCAGACACTAAACAGTGAAACGTAAATGTGATTGTTGTAAGACGACCATAATCGTTGTGAAAAATAATATAAGAAGATATGAAAATATATTTGGTTGGAAATAAAATCTTCATAGATAAACCTAAGAAGATATAAGAATTACTGTCAGAAGATTTGCCACCTCTGTAACCACCCCAGATACATTCCTCGATACGACCCTGTCTGGATTTGAAAGCATACAACCCTGTTAGTGATTGCAAAGAAGAAACAGGTCACGGTCAGTTCATATGTATTTTTTGAATAATTAAGACATTTGAATATAGATGGAATCTTTTTCATTAAACCTTTTTAACTTTTAAACATAGTTTGCGACAGGATTGCATGCACCAGGGTTTACTGCGATTTAACTACCAAATGTGGTTATAAGGGAAGAAGTCAAGTACGTATGTAAACAAACGGTTTGTTTACTTATATTACTTATACAATGCACGTCCTCTCTAAATATCTAACGCCATTTAGGTTCCCTACGGATGCCTCTGAAAGAATATTAACCAAAGTTATATGTTTAGAAGAAATCCAAAAAATGCTAGTATTAGAGGGGCCTAGCTCACATTTTTAGGAGCAGAACCTATGCGCAGAACAGACTTAACTTCATACAACCGCGTTTATATAAGATCTGTGGTTTAGTGAGATTGGGTCGAAAGAAGGTATTAAAACCCCCGATTAAAAGGTGATGCCCAGTCGGTAATGTAAACAAATACTTTGTTTATGTTTCTTAAAAAATGGCAAACTTTCTGCATGTCTAACACCATATTGTTTTGCTATGGTTTTAAACTGATGTTGGTGTGAGCAGAACCGATGCGCAGACCCGATTGGACACTAGATAATGTGTCATTCCCAGCATGGACTCGCTGATTTATTGACAGTTAAACTCTATCTCTCAGTTTATATACCCTGTCATTTCATTCGTTTTTATCTTGTCATCTTTGAGTTTTATAACTCTGTCAACTCGTCTCAAATCACCAAATACATCATGCATGTAGCAACATGCACTTAGTCATTTCCAACGTAGTTTATATGACTGCATGTTATTTCTAGCACTATTTTGCCTCTCAAATGCATGACTGTTACTTATTTCATCATTTCATCAAAGAAACACATCGCAAATTCAACGAGTGCAAGCAATTCATATATAGCCATATATCGAGCTTCCAATTGAAATTCGTATAATTTCCAAAAAATTACAACAGCTAATGTGCAAAGTACCGTAAGTATTTTACCTCGCTTTTCTATATAACCGTTCGCATTTTAATCTTTTAAGGGCTTTAAAAAGTGTCAACTTTTTGGATTGGTTTCTGAAAGCCGATCATGCGGTATCCGTGTGCACGCGACGATGCGCGTGTTTTTTTTTAACGTGTTTTTTTTTTCATTGTATTCTACAATTTTTTTTTCTTTGAACTTTTAATATCAAGAAATGGATTCAGTGAATGCAATGTTCCTGTATAGTCAGTCGCTTGTGTAGCGCTGCCGCTGGAAGGAATATATAATCGAATTCATTATAAAAAGCCGACTCGTCGAGCGGAATGAAGGATAATATCGGATAACGTGGACCACTGCATCCTCACGTACAAGTTATAATTTTAATTAACTCTATGTTTTATTTACAACACAAAATTTAATTGGTATAGCACAGAATAAATAACTTGCGGCTATAAAATTTTATAAAAGCCGCAAGAAGTATAATACATGCAATTAATAAATACTTCATATAGATATGATACGAAGAACTTGCTGCTAGGAAGTGAAAAAAATTCAAATGTGCTTTTTCCCACTGGCCACCCCTAATGTAGAGTGTGCTGTTAAATGTAAAAGGTTTCGCGTAAGTTTCTTAGTTTCGTTTTATAAGTTTCTCAGGCTATGTGCACACAAGAATAGTTTTCGAGCGTTTTAAAAATCTTTTTTGTCTATTTCATTGTTTAGACTGATTTAATATGTTAAATTAGCTTCAACTTCTATTGTAAATTGTCTGTGTTTGAAACCGTTTTGGTATGAAAACGAATGTGAAAACGCCCGAAACTGGTTACCGTGTGCACATAACCTCAGTCAATAGATCTTAGAAATACTCCCGTAACACAGATATCAATCTGCATGCTTTCGAGCGAGCTTATTCTGCAGACATTTTGTACCACAATGCATTGCGTCTCACTGTTGACTCTCCTGTGACGTGAGCACTTTTAGGGTCTATTGAGATATCAGAGCATTTCTTCGTTCCTTTTTATTTTTGGATACCTTTAACCATCACCTGAAAACAAAGAGTGGTTGCGTTAATAACATTTTTTTGCCAAACCAACATCAGGGGACTGCTCTGGGGACAGTGTGTAGTAAATAATACTAAGACAGTATAGTTTCCCTTTTGTCGTCCATGCAGTCTTCTTTTAATTTTTATTTAAAATTTAGGCCTTTATCATTTCAAAAATTTAGCATAATCGCAAAGCACCTAATGAGTAATGAGATTCGTCCAGAAACACTCAGAAATATATGCATTGCATGATATATCAAATACAGTGGCGTAGCTAGCCCGACAATTTAGTCATGCTATGAATATTTTGGTGTTCATTGACTGCCAAAACAATGATCTTCTAAAAAATGAGTAATGATAATAACTTGCATAGCATGACAAAATCGTCAGACTGGCTACGCCATTGATAAAATAAACTAGGGACAATTTAAATTAAATTCCCTGTTCAAAAAGGGATGGAATCATTTTTTTTTGTGGAGAGGAACATAAATTGTCGTATATATTCCGTTTGCTCTACGCGGATTCCACAAAAATATTGAGCTGGTAACGCCATTGCAAATAATTTTTAATTCTTTATTTTATTTTCAACTTTAAAACTGAAACCACCAGATATTCATTGCCGGATGATATCAGCGTAGCCTATGGCGCATGCTCATGTTTAATTAGCGTGTATTCTGTCTCAAGCCAGACGTTATACATAAAAGGCACTCGTTTCAACAAGAGTGGAAAAAAACAGAGTGCGAAAACTGATGTCTTCTTTCATTGCTATCTTTTCCGGCGACCACGGAGTTTTTCATCATTTATCTTACAGTACCGCGGGGTGTTTTAAATTTGTAACCTACCGCAAAATCCACAGGACTGTTGGCACATCAAATTCATGAACTCATAATTATTTTCACAGGGTCCGCCTTGCTCTGTGTAGGCTCTGCAACCCGTAATCTTGTCCTTACACACATGATCCTGGTCCGCGCCTGTCGGACGAAATCGTGAACGTGAGAAACAACCACATGCAATTATTCCAATTTACACAACTGCAATAACATTAGCAACGCCTCAAAAACAACAACGGCTATATACTCGTAAGCACTGATGCATGGGACAAAAAAAACACAATATATAGAGACAGAGGCGACGCTGATGCAAGTGGACATTATTTCCATTAGTCGCAAGTCTCGTGAACATGTCGGGCTGGTGATGAGATAGAGAATTTCTAAGTGTGTACAGTCTCCATCAAAGACCGATTTGAATACAAAAATAAAGATTTAGATCTGGACTATTTCTCATCGGTTAAAACGACAATTACGGTAAAAATGGAAACCGTAACTATAACTGCTTAACTTAAGTATACACCACAGGAATTGCTGAAACATGCACTATAGCGAGTGCAGTGGTAGCTGCATGTCACTTAACATACCATTAGATTTCGCATTTCGTCGTTCACACTTGTAAAGTTTTCGTATACTTCGTATATCTCCATTGCTGAGATGCTTTGCGTGGCCAAATCGTCGAGCGGGGTCTTTCAAGGCTTGGATTGTGTCTTGTCCATTTTTTGAGAAAGCTTTGTTGTCATAATGTAATATGCTATTAAAATCATACGGCTCTGAGAGAGTGTCGACATCTTCGTTCGAGTACGAGTTAAAATTGCGTTCTCCAGCTAAAAAGGACGAAATGATTGTGTCAGGATCTGACGAGTCGTGTTTTTTTGGCAGATTCAACCCCGTTCACACGATGCCGGCATGCAATACTGCCAGGAGAAAAAATCACGGTTTCGACTGTTCAGAGACGGGATGAATATGTCGTTACGCTTTGGCGTTATGTTCACACGTTGCTGATTTCAATGTCTTTAATTTTTCTAATGGAGCCGAAGTAGTAGGTGAGGACAACTATTTGAATTCATTTTTTCGAAAATTGAATTCGCGTCAAAACATTTCGCCCTACCGTAATGAAACTCCAACACATATAGTCTGACAATAAAATTTTGTTACGGATTCCGATTCTTACGGTTGCATGGTAACACTCGACCGGCCGCTTCAAAATTCAACTCTTATTACATGCAGGTATCTCTCATACATATATCGTGTGAACGCAACCCCTAAACGTATATATAATAGTTTTGCACGTTTTTCAATCAAACCTTCGTCTACATTCCAGTGAAGTATCTTTACGTAATTATCACGATCTGGCCGAGAGTGTTCGTGCAAGAAACCGAGTGCGTGCATCATTTCATGAAGGACGAAGTTCCGTTTCTCGCACACTGGACTAAGGGTAATATTCTGTCCTCCCTCTTTTCTTCCGATTCCAGAATTACATCTGTGAAAGACAGAAAAATCCTTTTAGCAAACCACTGACGTGTATTCATCAAACGGTCCATTTCAATACGCCTAGACCTAGTATGCTTATAAATATGTACGACGTACGTCACATCACATGCAGCAGCTAGGATAAAATCTTGTGCATGCATATATTAGGACTGATTATTACAAAAATTCATGGAGTATATTAAATTATACAAATTACCAGAAATTTTTGGTGAAATGCCAATTTTGTAAAATACATGTCGTTCTGAATGCATTTTTGAAGGCTTTCAAACCCACAAAAATTAGATGCACGCGTAAACCAAATTACATATAACATGCACCAGGAACGCCATTTATGACACCATCAATCATTTCAACAGTATGATATATATATATTATAGTGATGAAAGATTTATCCCAAATTTCTGGCAATGATGAGTACCTAAAATAAACTTACCTTGTTCCTTTTCTGAAGTGAATAAAATGTTTGTCCGTCGTCTTGTTTCTCGGAATAAAGCGAATGCACGTTTTTGCAGCCAGTCTTCTGAATGCCCTTCTTACGGCCTTGTGAAAATCGTTAGCTACAATTGTAAGTTAGAGAAGCTTGTGACAAAAGGAACCCAAAAACCCTTTGTGGGGCTTTACTTTTCAGATGCATGCACAAAAAATGGCGATGGTGAGTCGTCGACCAATAAACATGTTTTCTTGCGTGATCGACAATAAAAGTAATCGGGTTCAATTATCAAGTCTGTGGGACAGCTATATTGACAGCTAACTGTGGTCGAAGAAAAAATTACAAAATTTTCTTAACTGAGAAAATATATGGTACGCAAGAAGACTTCACGAAACGTTGAGATTCCAAGGAATGACCTAAATACTTGTTGATAGCTGGTAGTGTATATGTATGTACTTACACACATCGGGCGCTATGCTATAAGGAATCAAGCCACCGTCCCATAAGTGAGCAGTTCTTAGTGCAGCTCGCCTCTGTCGATTTCCCTCTTTCTTTTGAATTATTCTTAGCAGGTTTTTGTCTGCCAAAATATCACCTTCGATGATAGCTAAAAAAAAACAAATCATACCAAATCCTTCAGAACGAAGGTCACTATAGATCACTATATATAGATTGGGAACTAAGACGATGTAATTTTTCATTTTCAAAGTCGGTGGCCCGGTGGCGTTGCCATGCATGCAGGATTTAAATTCATTTCTGGGCTGCCTATATATGATCATATATCATATCCCCATCGAAACGCCTTTATACAGATTCAAAATTTTTGCAAGTCATCTTGAATGAGATTAGAATATATACGTAACTTATAACCCTAGAATTTATCACCTTAATGACCCTATGCTTATGGAGATGGAGGATGAACAAATTCATGGAATGTATGTTTTTGTCTCATTCAATTTGATCCTAATTCTCACTGAATTCACCGTGCCGTGGACATTATAGTAGCCGTTCGTCATGCATTTGCATGGTGTTCTTTTAATATATCGAACATATCCGGAATTTTTTTGCAGTATATAGTCGCGTAAACAACATAACTCGTTTGTCATGCTGAAGAGTGAAGTACGTTACCGAGAGAGGACTTAATCAAATTAGAACAACTTCCTTTTCATGTGGTGGTATTTTTGTCGACTAGGAAGTATGTATATTGGCAAGATTTTTCTGCATTAAATTGTGTCCATCTCATCTTCTATATATATACTATGTTTGTTTATGTAGTAGTAATCCGGAACAGCAAAGTCAAAGGAAATAGCCAAATAGATCATTCAAGTGGTGCATGCATGGACGTTCGAAATATCGATGTTCCACTTCCAGTACATATTTTGTAAATAGTTCCATCATTCATCGGTCTCTCAACAGTTGTCTCTCTTATTCGTGTTTTGGTCGTTTTCTAAACAATCTAGATTAGAAGTTCTACAATACAAACATATGGTTAGCAAAGCCAATCAAATGATCAGGTATCAAAATCAAAATATCTCGCTTAAAATCCCTTCACGACTCAAGCCATGCACGCGTGATTTAAACGATTATATAAGTTTTAGATTCGGTCTTACTTGTCGTGGTTTCGACAGTGTGAAGATGTTATATTTTCTGGTTTCCTTTGTTGACAGGTTAAATTATCGTATCGCATTCTCAATCGTGTATATGCTGTCCCAAGAGGTCAAGTATATGAAAACAAAATCGGTTCATTTATGGTAACTCAAGACAGATTATCAAAAACATATGAGAAAGAAAACAAATTGAACTTGAAATTGTGCATGTAAATACTGACATGTGACAACCGCAGACTCGTCGCCGCCTACAGAGTTATATATATACATATATAGCCTAATATAGAAAAAAAGGACGCTATGACTGTGTCAACGTCCGAAATTTTGACGAACGTTGTTCTCTACGTTTTTTTAATTCTTAATGAGTTATAGTTCTATATATAAGTCCACATAAAATAATTATTGTTTTTCATCACTTATATACTCGTATATGTTATCATTAATTAATTAAAATAGTTCTTAACGTTTGATCTCACTGCATGCAGTACCAGGATTGCGTATATTATGAACTGGCAAAATAACATGATAAACTGATAACATATCATTCATGACATAAGACATTATTGTCATTATTGTCATTTCCAACAGTATATCTTCACAAACCTTTCTCTTTGTACAATCAATGTGACTGCCAAACAAATTTGTGTTTTTTTTAAATGTAGGCAGTGTGGGATGACAATAAAATCTACAGCTGAAATGTTTATTGGCATATCAGTAATATTTTATAATGATATACAGAGAAGTCAATGAAGCACTCAAAGTATACAGTCGTGTGAACAGTAATGAGAAGCAAGGAATGAAATTCCATGTGGTTTAATTTACTTTGTAATTGGAAATCGAATTAAAACTAAAAATACTCCTCACGAGTTAGGTATAAAATCCGAAGAATGCACTCGATATGAATATATATAGCCACTATACATTTCATAGAACGAAAAAAGAACCCAAGCTGCAATTTAAATCATCAATCTCTCGTCCACCTGTACAGCCGGCAATATACAGCGTGAATCGCCATTGCATATCTATATTATACAGGCCGCTCTTCTAAAAAATTGCAACTTTAGACCAACAACATTTATAATCAGCACGCGCAATATTATATATATATATATATAGATAGATAGATAGATATAGATAGATATAGATAGATATATATAGAACAGTGTTATAACTGTTATTGTTATTTTTAATCTTTACGGTCGCGGAACTAGAAGCTTGGCTGAAATTCGATAGTTACACCTATATATGCTCAAACGAAGGCACGTGCACGTCACGATTAATACCCGCGATTTTTGCAGTTTGGCTGCGATTTTATTTTTATGTGCCATTTTCCTCTTTTGACAGATGTGAATGAGTAATTACTTAGTTACGAATGTTCTGAACATCAGCACAGAGGACCTATACTTGGACAGCCGAGTCTCACTCCGCCAAAAAAGTGTAACGCGCTGCCAAAAGCTTAGCCAGTGCACGTTTGAGAGGCATTCACTGCGTTGATTACTTTTCTTCATGCACTTCGGGACAGTTAAAACAATAAAACATGCAAAAAAACGTTAAAAGAGCAGCTGAAATAATAGCCGTTATGAAATCAGGTCTGCTGACGTTCTTCGGACTATCCTATATATCCTTTAATCACCCCAATCATATTCCTCTCGAAATTCGCCTGTATTCGTTTATGCATATATATACGTTCTTCAGTTTAAATTTTATAAATTTTTGTTGTGCTTGTATACCCTTTCAGAATTCAACAATTTCAATTTAATTTTCACGTACACGACATAAAATATAGCGAAGTATTGCGGACTCATTGCCAGATAAAAAAGGGGGAAAAGTGGGTGACTGTTGTATGATTAACTAATTACCAATTTGCAGTCATTAAGTGGCGGGTTTCTAATCTGCGTAGAATGCGAAAAAGCAAACAAGCTTAAGAGGATAAAGCTCTAAATATTTCAAAATCCAGGAAAAAAATATAAAATTCCTTGAACATCGCGTGTGCGTGTGGGCTGCTTTACAGAAATAAATATTTTCCTCGACGTGAGTGAATAGGCGTTGCTATTTTTAAGGATGTGCTTTTAAGGCTTTTAATGAATAGCATGTCTACCTCCGTTCATAATTATTCCAACTATTTCACTGAATACGTTATCAGATTGACAAATTAACACGTCAGTGATAAGATTTTCAGTCAACAACACTGAGTAATTAAGCCTGAGTTGTCAGAGAACATGAACTTGGCTAAGTTGACTAAATCGCTTCTCCGACCAAAACTAAGGGGGGGGGGACGATATGTCAGCACAATATTGGTATAATGTGTAGGGTGTACCCAGAGAGAATAATCTTATTTCCTTTTGTATTTCAAACCATACTGATATATGTTCAAGAGGGAAAGGAGCTCAATCCTATTGTAAGCATCATACGTTCACAAACATAAATCAAGGAAGTATTATCGAGCGTCTCGTGTCGAAGCTACCGATAACTTTACACTACACACCATCTCTCAAATTACTATAACCTGACGCACGTGCCAAAAATTGTCATGTCAATAATAATCAAACGTCAACAATTAGACTTTTACTACAATAAACAGTTTCCGACAATATATCCTGTTGGCCATTGACTGTATTGGACTAATGTGACAGCTGCATTCATTGAAAATCTTTTCGTCGCAATGGTTGCACTCGCGAATTCGTACAACACAAGGTTATGACTAATTGAAATCTCATAAAGACCTTTTTATATACAGAGTGTGTTTTATACACAGTGCGTAGTTTTAACGGATGATGCCTTTGTATATACATATAAACTTACTAATTTACGATTGTAGTTCTGCATAATCAAATTAAATTAAATCAAATTAAAATCTAAAAGTATATATTTTACGAGAAATGGCTTCTTTTAGAAAATAAAATAAAAGTAATAAATTAAGGAGAAAACAGAAAGGGAAATTAGCAAAAAATAAACGACAGAGTCATGGTTTTCGGATAATTAACTCTTCAATTTCACTAACCACTGTCATGCAAGTGATGCAACAAAGAAACCTTGCACACTGCAGTCCCAAGCACATCAAGTGGGAGATTAACAAAAAACTCCAACGTGCGAAACCGGACAGAGAAAATGCCGCTTATCCTTCAAAAAAAAGCTACTTATTTTAAAGCGACGGTAAAAGAACGTTTTAAATCAACGATCCGAGCTTTTAGGCAAATGCCGTCATGTAAATTAACACCATCCATGGGTTTTTAAATATCTTTGTGCATATCCCAATATAATCTATCAATTGCCTGATAATCGCCCGAGTGCACAGACTAGCGAGTAGTATATGTACATAAGAATATATACTATATATTATATATTTCCCTTTCCATGTGCAATCATCGTTTACATAACGTACATATATGCAGCCGGAAGATGTGTCGAACCCTTAACTAATCTAGTTTATCGATCGAAATGAACGTGGAGACAGATAAATACATAAGCATGGTATATAGTTTCGAGTACAATCAGGGATATTTCAAACTTTTTCCTTCTCATTTTTTCTTCTTATCTATTGTATTAACTGCATTTGGCGACTGACGCCGGTGGCTGAATTCAATGCATACACGACTTTTTGTTCCACAGGGATGACAAGTCTTCGGAAGTTCTTAACCGGTCAACTTGTCCATAAAATTTGCAATTTAAGGATGGCGTATCTCAGACCTTTCTCGTGTAATTTTCTTACGAGATCTATTATCTCGATAGATTAATCAACGTTATCGTTATTATCATTTATCGTGAACAATGGAATACAATAATCTCTGATCACCAGTTTCAACTATCGAAAGAGTTTTGACTTTTGTATTAATGATGTTCGCCGTGCTCCAACTGAGTTTTTATATAAATGAGGAAATTAAAAATCGTGCGCAAATTTTGTCGGAATCACAACATATGTCAAGAGACGCAGCTAGATGACAGCGGGAAAAGAAGGAAAATTATTTTTTTCATAAACGTTGATGTAATGATCGACAAGTTTTTGTTTGGATTGATAAGGTATATAATGAAGAGATTGAATGAGATGTCGACACGCGGTACGTATGTTGCTTAGAGAATTACCTAAAAAACGCAATCGATGTACCTTTCGGACAAAGGTCTTCCGTCTGGAGGTTAGGCAGACGAAGGCGTTTATTTGCTTGAAACGTTGAACTTTCGCTGTATTTTTCAGATTGACTCCGCAATGTAACTACACAATGCAACATATGTTTTGCAAGGTGTCTGCAGCGATTACTGCCTGGGTTATGACCTACAAGTACAAATACCGAGATACTTCCCGATTGAAACTGTATGTTCGTGAGCGTGGTTATACAGTTACCGTTTATTTGCTACTGAGGAAATATAGACGCTTTAGTTTTACCGCGAAGGCACGTAACTAAAAAGTATACGACGCATATCACGTTACAGCTTTCAGAAGGTCTACAACTCGTATAGTTCCGTTTCTTGTAATGCTAAACTTACTTTGCTTTGAATGTTCCTCAGCGTCTTTTGACTGCCTCCTATATTGATCCGGTATCTTCCCTGCCCGAACGCTGTTTAACAGTAACACCAAAATACATGACGCGAGCAAAAGCTTGCTTAGAGACATTCCGCCAGCAAAATCCATCGCCTCTGTTTTACGACGCACAAAATATTCCGAAGATAGCCGCGTAATGAAATGATTGCTATAATGCGGTTGACCTGTGAGCGCGTCGTCTTATATGGGTGACTGGCGTTCATTAAAGCTATGTTAGGCTCGTGACGTGTGATGACAGATTGATGATAAAAAAGTCATTCTATTTAAACACTTGTAATTAATAATCGCTCCGAACGATCCGCCCTCGCTTGCGTGGCCACATTCAGTTATCGTTCTGCGGATATGGCCCGTGCGACATGGCCATTGTCAAAACTGGACTATGGACGACGGACTCGAACTCTTTAAATCCTGACGACTTATTTTGAAATTCTCCCAGTGAGTCTGCACTTCACTTCAAACCCTTTATTATAGGAAGAAAATATCATATTGTTGTTTAATAATTATAACCGTTGACAAATGACAAATGATTGCAAGGTCAAGTTTAGTTTACTGCCACGTTCAAAAATGATAAGCAAAATTTACTATAAAACAGAATATATAACTCGGCCAACATTCATAAAGACGTCGTTTTGCAGCATTTTTTCATGTAATAACCTTACGAGATCTATTATCCAGGTAGATTAATTACATTTTACTGGTTATTATCAACAATGGAATAATCTGTGATACTCTTTGAATTATGCAAAGAGTTCCTTATTCGTTGCGTCATGCGTCATTTTTTTCTTAAATCGGAAGTGAAAAATTGTGCGCAACCCCAATTATTCCCATCATGACGCGCCAAAAGACGCAGGAGTAAATGACAGAGGGGAAACTGATTATTCTTTTATAAACAGACATGCATACATGTGATAATTCACAGGTTTTGTGTGGTTCGATTACGTAAATCCTGTGCCGAAGACTTCGAAGAGATTGAATGAATCGCCCGAAAAAGCTGTGCATGATAAGAAAAACTACTTTGACGCAGAAAACAGAAGTGAAGAGCTTTTTGCCTAGAGGTGAATAAGAACCATTGTTTCATAATTAACCGTTGACAAATCACTGAAAAGTCACGTTCACTCTTCTGCCACACACCGATATGCACATTACGATGTTGAATGAAAGGCGCCGAATGTAATATTATTCAACACAAAGAGAATAAATATGCCCCTCTCAAATCACCGGTTTTGCAGTCTCAAATATTCTCTAGAACTTACTGAGGGTTTTGTTTTTTGTTCTGCGTGCTAAAACAATCGGAACACCGCCATTTGGTGAAAAAAGAAGGGATGTCCTTGGTTGCCATTGACATTGAATACCATTGACAGCCAAGCAATATAATGATGGTGCCAATAAAGGTTCTTTCTAACCTTGTGAAGAGAATGCTAAATGTGTAGGCACAGTTAGCTGAAAATTGTATTCAAATGTAATTATATGAGTCGCCTGGCTTCGAACGAAGCAATATATCTATTTGATCATACCGTGTTACTTCCGGCTGCGCCTTTTCTCGAATTCATGGAACTGTGGGAACACTCGATCCTTCACTGATGACTGTGTTACGACTATTGGTTACGACCGTTAATGAAATTGAAATTGACTAAAAGGAGCTGATGAGTAATTATATCTATATCTGTTAGTGTTTGGCATTGCTATTTTTTTTTCATTAATTTAAAATTGCAATTTTGAAATTCTTATAGCTACTTGTTATATGACAAATTTGTAAATCAAAATACGTGTGTGCATATAGAGCCACAAATCTTCCCATAACCACATTGCAGCACTGGAATACTTAGGTTCAAAATTCGATGCTTTCGTCCGATCATTCATTCCGTAGCCGTATTCATTATATAAATTCAATGATTTTCAAAACAAACTATGCAAATAGCGCACCCCGCATATAAATGAAGCTGATATATATTTGATAGCCAACCTTTGAGCCCTTTGCTGCGTCGCGGGAGATGTTTTGAGAGCCTAATTTTGAGAGCACTTCTATGTGCGTTTCTGGCTACCGGTCAGGAAAGAGCAAATGACCTAGGTAACAATTTGCATCAGAAAAGTCTGTCTTTGTTTTCATTATAAATTGCTGGTAAATGGGCACAAAAGGATGTGTCTGCGAATCTGCCATAATGTCTCATGTTGCGGATGTTGGAAAACGTAATATGTGGGTAGAAGGCTAGATTCGCGAGTTAAAACAATTGATTTTCGATTTATAGCGTGAGAAAATAACCGTTGGAGAAATCGAAAGAAATCATACAAGGTCTAGTTTCATTGGCAAATTCCAGCTTCGAAATTGAATCGCTGCTCAATTAAGATTCGCTATTAAGACCTTTGTTCTCTTATCAGTATTTCTCAGTTCTCGAATGCATATTACTGATATACATGATAGAAGCATTAATTTAGTTCAGTCAACAAACCTAGCTGTAAACACGATCAGAAATCTTAGTGAGAGATATTGCAATCAAATTAAGCACGTCCTTGTGTGGAATTTAAAAAATCAAGATCATCGCTCGTACTATACTGTAGATTAGATGTAAATCATCTAATCACTCCGCAGATAAGAACGTGCAGGAAGGCAGGTAAACACTATAGCTAGAGTCAGTAGAGTGGAAGACACTGTATTAATGATAGTTTTTTTCTGGTAGATTTAAAAAAACCAACTTGAAAACGGCTAAAACTTGACGGTATTTGGTAGAAAATCTCGAAATTTTTGTCTCGAAATTATCACATGCATAGTATTGGGTTTCAATCTCAGCTTCAATCTTTCAAACCGGAAAAGCGGAAAAGTGTCACTAGGTAAAGGTTTGGGTGGCTTGCGTATTCATTATGATAACAAAAGGCGATGCACGCGGTATATAGTTTAAGGACAGGGAGGAAGAAGATGGTATTCTACGCGGTATTATCAATAAAAGGACGTTTCTTTTGCCAATTTTCTTTTCAAACTCGCTTTGTCACGTTTCAACAACAAATACTTCTATATGTAGACATTGAAAACAGCTGGAATAATTAGAGTATCCGTAAAAGTTTCATGATGGACTGAAAGCTAGAGGTGACATCGCGAGCAGTGAATAGAAAAATAGAAAATAATGCACTTCAATGACACCACCAGGGAAGTCGCTTCCATCAGTGGCGTCGCTAGGGGGGGAACTGGGGGGGACTCGTCCCCCCCACTTATTCTAAAGACCACTTTTGGAATTTTTCTAAATCTGAAGAGAAAAGGGGGGGGGGTACAATGATTCTAATTTCCAACAGCAGAGTAAATAAAGAAATTTTCGAATTAACATTACTTTTGATCATGTAAAGAATAGCAGTAGAATAACATAGTCAGCATATAGAAAGAGACATTGCAGATAAAATTGAATTGGATGCTCTTGTTGACACATTTAGATTAGGCAGATTAGCTAACAACAAAAAGTTCCCCTTGTAAAAACTGTTTGTTTATAACAAAAATCTCCGGTCTGTGGCTTTCGGATTGTCATAAAACTTTGCTGAAAATGCGGGAAATAGCGTTTTAGAGACCCTAGAAATAAAAATTTTCTCGGGGGTGAATGCCCCGAACCCCCCTAGAGGTCTTGCGCTTTGGTGCCTCGTCCCCCCCAGTCTGAGCGACCTGGCGACGCCACTGGCTTCCATGCCTCGCCCGTTTTGCGTAATGACAATGGTAAAGCATACAGACCCGTGCCGCGCCTAGACAGAGGGAGGTCGCATTGGTATATGCCTGGTACACCATTGTGGACGATAGGAATGACGTGAAAGAGTGCAATATTCATAGTCTCGGATTTTCCGCCATCTCCCTTACCTTTTCCCAGAGTGCGCCTAAAACTAGGCGCATGCACGAATTACGAAATAATTTTTATATACTTATAGTAACCTTAGTTAATGTAGTTATATCATGCGAATTTTAGAAAGACAAAGTTAATGTAGCAACGGACAGGGCCACAGATCATTTCCCAGACGGTTTTTCGTCTTAAGTAACTGATACGTGTATTTGTGTAATTCATACGATAAACAAAAAGATTGTATTACCATTGGTACTTGGCAGGATTGTAGATAAGTTTCTGTATTAAAATTAACGTCCGCTTAGAAAACAAACTCTGCCGTACGACTCATTGTGGTAAACTTTTTATATACCTACACAGTAAGATTTAACTCTCTGCGTGGTCCCTTCTCAGCAGTCGGTTAAAATATACGAAAATATAATCGTATCCCAATTTTTTATTTTTCCTTATTCCGTGATGTCTAGGACTACAGGCGCGTGCGTTGTTGCGGAATTTTCCCTCCCACAGCCACAGCAACAATCACGAATTATTGTTGAATTCTCACGAAATTTCGAGCCTGTTCGATTTTTCGACGAACTTCGGAATCCTCACTCCGTACTTCCCTTACGACCGATTCGGTTCGGTTTGCCATAAAGACGAGTGCGTCTTTACTCAAGTTTTCGAAGCAGCAGCGGATGTGTTATATTTCTTCCGGAAGTAAAATAACGCGACGATGGAAACACGTTGCCAATATTGCTCATTAATATTGCTCACTTTACTTCTGCAATCAATCAATGCTTCATTACAAATGACACACGATGGAATTTATTCACAAGCAAACCCAAAATTTCAATGTCAACAAGAAAGAGACCCAAGCAGAGTCAATTTTTCTGTTGACAATGCGTGCGGTGTTGTGACTTGCGATTTTTTTTCGGAACCGTTTAATCAATTAAGATCGTCATTATTTACGCAGTCCTCAGAATATTGTTCGCCCTCAAAATTCCGTAGGATACCGCATAGTCATCGGTACACACAATTCAGTGGTCCAGAGAAAGTTCTAGCAATAAATTTGCTTCGCAAAAACACACAACGCCTTCTTTGATTTCGAAATGCATGATAGTCCTTAGCGCATATGCATGATACAGGCGTTATAGGCTAAAAAAATAAATACGATTAAATTACGTTCGATACCGTGACGATAAAGTGACTGATGGCTTCTTTTTTGTCGTTTTCCCACATATCTAAAACAATTGGCTACTCTACAAATCATCGCAGTTTAATTTTTTACGTAGAAGTTAGACACTTGCGTCTTGATTACATTCCCAATGCCACTTAGAAGAAGGGG